TTAATAGATCTACCCTTTTCACCGCTACTGATAATTAAAGAAATTCTCCTTTCTGTAGTACCTGCAGGGTCTGACACCCTTGGATATGTTGCTGATCATATTTCTCTGAGAAAAGTGACAGTTTAATGTGGCCTTTCTTCTTGGCTGTACAGTTCTTAAGACCTTTTAACAAATCGATAAGAGGTATTCTTGTTTTCTGTGTGGATCTGATCCAGCTGTACCGGAGCTCTTTGATTAAATGTCAGGCTGTGGACGAGGTCTGTTTGACTTTTTATTCTTTCTTTGTGACTGGAAACCTTCTTTAACTTCGCTGGCATGTTTTTATTATTGCAGGTATATTACGCATTATAAGAGATTAATAACACCTAAATGAATGAATATAATAGCAAATATTCACTGGAGAAGCTGGGAAAAAGTTAAAAAGATTCAAAGTTGATATTGGGTTAAGTCTGACTGCTGTGACATCATTCAAAGATGTTAGTGATGGGAGAGTTGGACCGCTGCATAAAGTTATCCCAAAGTTATCCCAGCTTATCCCAAGTATTCTCAGTGGCATCGGGTGTGCAGTCTGCATTGGCCAAGAAGTGTGTGAAAATCATGTCTCATGCTTACTCAACCACTCTTGCACAATCTGAGCCCAACGAATCCTGGCATCATTATCTTGGAATATGCTGACCAAATGAAGGAACATCTGATCACAAAACAATATTCTACTCTTTTCTTTACAATTTTTAATATATATATATATACACACACACACACACACACACAAATATATATGTATATTTTCATAGGCACATGAGCTTGTGAAACATAATATATTTTTTAATAATATATATTTTTTAACTAACACGACTTGAATGAATTTTCATTCATCCAAGTAATAAAAAAAAATTTGCCAATGAAATATGAAATTTTTTTAAATTTTAATTAAAATTTTAATTATTAAAATGTATAAAAATAAAATGACATTTTGACAGAACTTCAAAACAGATAATAAATAATAAATGAAATAGGCTTTAAAATAGTATTAAAAATAATAAACTAGTGTAGGGATTACATATGCAGATACAAGCAGACATAAATATAAAGTGATGATAAGTATGTGTTAAGCTCAGCTCCAACTCCTCATTATTACTGAAAAAATTACAAATAAACTGTTTCCTTCATTTTTTGTCCTTTTCTAATTTCTTCCCTAGTGATGCTGTTCGATCCATCAGTCAAAAATATTTTTTTTAATTAATTTGTTAATAACGTGTTGCAATACTTGTTAATGGATGCCGAATTCAGAAACAGTACCAAATGGTTCAGAAAGTGCCGTGTTACTACATTTCTGCCCGCAGGTGACTTCACGGTGCAGGAGAAAACTATAAAGAGGTGCGCGGTTTTCCTGGAGTTTGGCCTCCTGCTGCCTCAGGTAAAATTGACTGTGCGCTCTTACCGGCACCCAGACTGCGTCCAGGGCTGTGTGACAGATTTAGCAGCTTCAGAAGCAGGCTGAAGACTAATCAAAATATGATCGCACAGATAAGGCAACTAAGCTGAGTCATAGAGAGGAAAAGTACGCGCTGAAGTTGGTGTCAGGTCGCGATATTCATTCATAAAACCAACTGAGCGAGCTAACGGTCCGCACCGGCGCTACGCTGCTAGCTTGCAGAACGAACTGGGGCACAGACGGACGGCAGCACTCACCCTGTCGATTCTCGCTCAGCTGTTTCTCAAACTCCTCGAAATCCGACATGATGTGTGTCACGCTGCTGTGAAAAGAAAAACACGGCGGCTCCGATGTGTCTGACGGGAAAGATGAAGCGACCTGTCCGCTCTGTCAGCGCAAAATCCAAGAGCTCCTCAGAGTCAAGATAGACTCACAGCATCCGGCAAGCCCTTCAAAATAAAATCAAGCGGAAGTTTAAAATTGTAACATTTAGCGGTGATACGCAAAAGAAGAAATTTAAATCCTAAAACAAAAAACAACATTGCATTTTATATTGTTTTTGTTGTTTTAAATTTTCCCATTTATCAGTATTACTTTATTATTTTAAATTATTTGCCTGACATGTTACACATATCTTTGTTTTGGAATGACTTTTAGGAATTTCGTACATAGCTTACCTGACGTGGACTTCAGTGAACACTGAGCAACATTTTAAGATAATGAAAATGGTGTTGGCTTAATCTTTGATCCGCGGAAGCAGTGTGATTGTGGGGTTATGGTGGGATAATATGTTTATCGTATATCTCTGCAGTAGCCTATATTAACTCATCACTCATAGTATTATTTGAAGGAAATATTAAGTAATTTCTTATCTTCATGTTCTCTTTTGGGTGGACAAATATTTATGGCCCCTGCTTCGGTCCTGAAATATTAATGCCATTAATGCAGGTCATTAACATTTGGCTTCTTTCTTCTATAGTGTGGATTTTGTTTCCCCTTACCCCACAACCAGTCCAGGCAACTGGGTTCTTCATCCCCACAGTTGCCAAGTTATTGAGTCCACCCAGTGGTCTGCTGCTTTTAAAGTCCTGTTAGCACCAGGATTGTGGTTCAAAACTTGACTCAGTATCTTTAAAATAGCACATCAGGTTATCAGATTTCATCTCTGTTAGAGCTTGTGTCATACTAAAGACACATAGGCCAATTCATATCTGGTCCACCCGCTGACCTTAGTTTAAAAACACTAACACAAAATTAATTTGGGATTTGTAGGTTTTCACATCAGAAGTTGAGGCCGTACACATAAACTACAAGATCAAAGTTTTTTTTTATATTTGCACCTGTTTTACTAATGTTTCCCACAAGCTTTCAGGTTCAGGTATTAGATAAAATGTGATAAACAACATCAAAGATTGATGATTTTGCCTTTACATAACACAACTACTACAGCAGTAGAGGCTGAGCTCGTGCTTAGCTGTTACTCGTTAAAATTTTACTGATTCATTGATTTGTTGAGGCCTTAATGTGACCCAGTGTAGGTGATAAGGCCATATTCATCATGATTAAACATGATAGTTTTAGTTTTATTGTTTATACATGGATACCAATATAACACACCTGGGGCTCTTGATCCCAGCTTCAGTGTAAGTTGTAGTAAAATTGAATTTGAATCCCTTATTTCAGGTAAAATGCAACCTGCAAGATAAGAACCACAGACCTCGGGATGCTTAGAAATACTTACAGTATGTGCGAGGTTTTATGCAGCAATGGGTAATTATTTATGGATCACAGAAGAGGGGCAGCCTCCTGCAGCCAGTAGGAGCCCCATCTCCTCCCCACCTGTCATTCTAAACATACCATGTTGACAACATACATGGAAAATAACTGACTCAGCTGTGCTGCTATTAAAAGAGCTCAAATCCTAAAGTATTGCAATGCCTGGCCGGTTGGGCTGCTGTCATGTCACAGGAGCTGTGCTGAGCAGAGCAGCTACAGCTCCTCAGGAGGGGAATTAAACTCGACTACCTGCAGAGGCCCAGGAAGCGGTAAGCAGTGGATGCTAATTCAATTCCTTGCAAATGTCGAGGTTGGGTGGCTCAGCCACTCAGAAATGAGCTGCTCATTATAATCTAGCTGTGAGTTATGCAAAGCGCAGAGACCCTGTGAGAACGGTGGGGAAACTTCGCTTTAATGTAAAATTCGACCGCAGACTCAGAAGGCAGAGGGACTGAGAAGTGCTCCGTTATTTCACGACTTTGTTTTGGAATAACCTGGCAAGTCCGGGGTGACAGTGAGCCTTTGTGAGGGCCACAGCATCTATTTTTAGTGCAGTGTATTTTTAGAAAACTCTTCTTGGACAAACAGCCAGTGCTTGGCATGGTGAGCCTTAACTGAAAGGTTATCCTCAAATTCCTGGTTGGATACAACATGCGAGTGTCTGTCTTCACTG